CGGAGCTCCCCGCCCCCCCCAGTCCCTCCCAGTTCATCCCAGTCCATCCCACTTCAACCCAGTTCATCCCAGTTCATCCCAGTTCATCCCAGTTCAGTCCCAGTTCAATCCCAGTCCATCCCAGTTCATCCCAGTTCAATCCCAGTTCAATCCCAGTCCATCCCAGTTCATCCCAGTTCATCCCAGTATAAACCAGTTCCCTCCCAGTCCATCCCATTTCCCAGTCCCAGTGCTCCCAGCCCCTCCCAGTTCATCCCAGTCCATCCCAGTATGGCCCAGTCCCTCCCAGTTCCCATTCCCAGTACTCCCAGTTCCTTCCCAGTCCCTCCCAGTATGTCCCAGTCCCTCCCAGTCCCTCCCAGTATGTCCCAGTCCCTCCCAGTCCCTCCCAGTATGTCCCAGTCCCTCCCAGTCCCTCCCAGTATGTCCCAGTCCCTCCCAGTCCCTCCCAGTATGTCCCAGTCCCTCCCAGTCCCTCCCAGTATGTCCCAGTCCCTCCCAGTCCCTCCCAGTATGTCCCAGTCCCTCCCAGTCCCTCCCAGTATGTCCCAGTCCCTCCCAGTCCCTCCCAGTATGTCCCAGTCCCTCCCAGTCCCTCCCAGTATGTCCCAGTCCCTCCCAGTCCCTCCCAGTATGTCCCAGTCCCTCCCAGTCCCTCCCAGTATGTCCCAGTCCCTCCCAGTCCCTCCCAGTATGTCCCAGTCCCTCCCAGTCCCTCCCAGTATGTCCCAGTCCCTCCCAGTCCCTCCCAGTATGTCCCAGTCCCTCCCAGTCCCTCCCAGTATGTCCCAGTCCCTCCCAGTCCCTCCCAGTATGTCCCAGTCCCTCCCAGTCCCTCCCAGTATGTCCCAGTCCCTCCCAGTCCCTCCCAGTATGTCCCAGTCCCTCCCAGTCCCTCCCAGTATGTCCCAGTCCCTCCCAGTCCCTCCCAGTATGTCCCAGTCCCTCCCAGTCCCTCCCAGTATGTCCCAGTCCCTCCCAGTCCCTCCCAGTATGTCCCAGTCCCTCCCAGTCCCTCCCAGTATGTCCCAGTCCCTCCCAGTCCCTCCCAGTATGTCCCAGTCCCTCCCAGTCCCTCCCAGTATGTCCCAGTCCCTCCCAGTCCCTCCCAGTATGTCCCAGTCCCTCCCAGTCCCTCCCAGTATGTCCCAGTCCCTCCCAGTCCCTCCCAGTATGTCCCAGTCCCTCCCAGTCCCTCCCAGTATGTCCCAGTCCCTCCCAGTCCCTCCCAGTATGTCCCAGTCCCTCCCAGTCCCTCCCAGTATGTCCCAGTCCCTCCCAGTCCCTCCCAGTATGTCCCAGTCCCTCCCAGTCCCTCCCAGTATGTCCCAGTCCCTCCCAGTCCCTCCCAGTATGTCCCAGTCCATCCCAGTTCCCTGTCCCAGCACGGGCGGCTCAAGCTCCGCCCCCCGGACGCGGCGCGGCGCCGGCAGCGGGAGGAGAAACTGAGGCACTACCGGGAGGCCATGGACGCCTTACTGGGGGTACTGGTTTGTACTGGTTTATACTGGGAGGGGACTGGGAGGGGACTGGGAGGGACTGGGATGAACTGGGAGGGGATTAAAGGGTTAAAAAGAGGGAGGAATCGGGGTTGAAGGGAGATTTTTATACTGGTTTATACTGGTTTATACTGGTTTTGTACTGGTTTGTACTGGTTTCTACTGGGAAGCACTGGGAGGGGACTGGGACGAACTGGGAGGGAACTGGAGGGGACTGGGAGGTCACTGGGCCATACTGGTTTATACTGGGAGGGAACTGGTTTATACTGGGACTTACTGGTTTGAACTGGGAAGTCCCTGGGTGGGGGTTCCTGGCTTATACTGGGAGGGCACTGGGATTTACTGGTTTGGACTGGTTTATACTGGTTTGGACTGGTTTATACTGGTTGGGCTGGTTTATACTGGTCCATACTGGTTTTTACTGGTTTATACTGGTTCAAACTGTTTTATACTGGTTTAAACTGGTTTATACTGGTTTATACTGGTCCATACTGGTTTATACTGGTTTATACTGGTTTATATTGGTCTATACTGGTTTATACTGGTTTATATTGGTCTATACTGGTTTATACTGGTTCAAACTGGTTTATACTGGTTCAAACTGGTTCATACTGGTTTAAACTGGTTCATAGTGGTTTATACTGGTTTATACCGGTTTATACTGGTCCATACTGGTTTATACTGGTTTATACTGGTTTATACTGGTTTCCAGGTTCTCTCCCTGAGCGCCGCAGTCCTGGCGGCCAATCCCGTGGTCCA